TATGAGCTTCAGTTACTGATCTGTAAAACAGATAGTTAAGATCAGATGAGATAAACATGAGCAGCAGGGTGACTAAGAATTAATTATTAATTTGAATAACTTAATTCAAAAGACAGTTTAATATTAATAGAAAAGAATGAAAAGTAGTTCAGGAGTAAGAGTTGAAGGATGTGACCATAGGATTGGTACTAATACTAAGAGAAGGAAGAAAGCCCAGAAAAGGATAATGAGTTAGGTTTTAATCTACACCTGCGCTGTACAACATGGTATCACTAGCCACATATGCCTATTTAAATTTTAATTAGTTAAAATGGAGTTAAATTTAAAATTCAGCTCCTCTGTCACACTAGCTGTATTTGAAGTACCTAATGGCCACATGTGTTTAGTGACCACCATATTGGACAGCACAGATTAAAGAATATTTCCATCATCACAGAAAGCTCTAGTGGACACTTCTGATTTAGGAAATTTGAGTTGACAGAAGAACAGAATTCAAGCGGGTATCATTTTAATATCTCTGATGCTGGATTCCTGTAAAATTCAAACATCCTTAGAAGAAAGGCAAAATCCAACCACAATCAATCTGAGTGAAAGTTACAAACTGAACATAGCAAATTAAATAATTCATATTATTTGTTTACAAGGGCCTGGGATGAACATTCCCCACTTGGTGTGAAGTCACCAAATGATAGGATGATTCCAAGAGCTCCAAATCCCACTCACTCAAGAGGCAAAACTCCCTTGCCAAAAGTAAGTGCAGTTACCTAGGATGGTAACAGCCTTCCTTAATGAGGAAGCATATTTCAACTACAGAAAGATCCAGAAAGAAATATAAAAATGCTTAAGAGAAAAAAAATCAAAAGGCAGATGTTAATTTTTTAGAAAGCTAAACAAAAATTGATCTTTTATATACTTACAAAATGACTGACTTGTAACAAATTTAAAATGTATAACTGAGTAATAACTTCAGACGTAATTTTAAGCTGAAATCCTGTAAATTCAGAAATAATCCTGTAAGTTTAGAAATAACATTTGAACACTGCAAAGGCTTTTAGGTCACTGTGCATACAAATTCAAAGGATGTCAACAAGGGATTTTTTTCTTCTCTTTTTTATAATATAACAATAGCTTTAAAAAAAGAAAAAACTAAAAAAATCCAAAACTGAGGCATAAAGGTATCACATACTTAAGCTGACATTTACTATGATTTTTAAGAATCTAAAACTGCATTCACTAGCAAGATAAAAAAGAAACTGTTTACAGAATAACATGCACTTAAAGAAAAACAGAGGGTCCAAAAGTAAACCATCATTCTCAAAACTCTGCTCACCAACTTCAAATAATGAAAATACGTGCTCCTGGAGAGTAATTAGAATCAACTCATAGGAAACCATGTGAAAAGTGCAACGGGTTTTCGCCAGTCAGCCCTCTTAAGCGTTCATGCTCCTCGGAACTCTGTTATCCCTTTTCTATTTTCACCAACTCCAAACCCTATGGCATTTAGTGACATAATTTTAAGTATCACTTAAAGCACTACCTTTCAAAACCAAAATCCATCCTTTTCTCTCTGTTCTTATTGCCACCATCTGGTTCAGTCCTTCATTATTTCTCACCTGTTCTGCTACCGCAGCCCACACTGAGTGATCTCCCTACATTCATCCTCATGCTCCTCCAATCCATTCTTAACACTCAGCTGGAGTGATTTCTCTCAAACTCAAACCCAATTTGATCACATTCCTTCCCAGCTCAAATCCTTCAAGAGTTCTCCATCACCTAGTCCCTTCAGTTATTTCATTTTTCCTTATCACATTTAACACCATCTGACATACAGTACTATATTATTTGTTTGTTCACTACCTCCACTCCAACTAGAATATAAGGCCACAGCAGAGTTTTTGTTCACTGCTATATGCTGCAGTGAACATGCATGCATGACTGAGTGAATGAATAAGTGAATGAATGAATGATTACCTACAGGCCAGAAACCTCCATGACGTGCCAGAGGCCACCTGTTTTACTTTACTCCCACCTTTATCTATACTGAACTGCTTAGTTACCTAAATACAACATGCACTTTCATGCGCTTTTGCTTTGCTATGTGCCATTTATTTCCTTTACCTGAATACAAACTCTCCTCACCATTCAATCAACTTGCCACACTTATCACCCACATTTTAAAACCATCTCCAGAAAGCTTCCCCAGACCCCTTACATAGAGTATATCACTTTCTTTCCTTTGTGCTACATACATACATGTATCTACAGTGGCTTTACTCGACCTGTACTGGAATGTGTATCTCCCTTGCTAGACTGTGAATTCTTTGAGGCTAAGGCCTATTATTTATCTCTTTACCTCCACTGCCTAGGGCAATACTTGTCATAAAACAACTACTCTATAAACGTTGAGTTAATTAATATATGCATGACTATTCTGTTAAGAGGAATGAAAACATGGAGTTTCAAGAAGTCACTCCTCCAATTCCATGACGACAATCAGCCATAAAAGAGTTACAGCCAATAACATTATCCAAGGTAATAAAAGAGGAATTATACAAAGAACCCACATCACCAAACAATTCCAAAACAACTGACATACAGTCACACTCACACTTTATTAGATATACATGCTGGCTCCATCATTTGCCTTCCTTAAATGGAAGACCTGGGTTGCACATGAACAATACATTAAGTAGATCACTCCTTGAGGAAACTTTTGATGTTCCATCTAATATAAGATTTTGTGTTCCCTCAGATTTTGATGCAAACTTCAAAACAGTTGTATAGGACTAGATTTTACAACTAACCACACCTAGCCCTAAACCAAAGGCCAGACAGAGCTTTCTACCCTTTGTAATCTATGCCATCAATTGGTTATAGCTGTGACTTCAGACCGTGGAGCAGCCACACAGGGGACCCCAGACCAATCACTTTCAGCCATGGAAGCCTCATTCATTATCCCAATGTGTCTTACAAGACTTACTATTCTTCTCCAAGTACTGTAGACTGAGACCTCTAAATCCAACCATAAGAAATACACCTGACCTACCTACTTAGTTCTAAGAGTGTGAACCTGCATAAGTGTACAATCACACACAGTTGCATACAAATGAAAAGACATAAATGTACATGAAACTGTTTAAAAAACTTAAGTTTTAAACCCACTGACGGCTAATCTAATATCAAGTGAAGCCAGAGGCCAAGATATGATCCTTGATTCCTCCGTCCCCCGCCATTCAGTAACTAAGTCATGGAAAATTTACCTCCTATTATTTGTTTCAATGAGGCTGCCTATTCCCAACTGTATGTAGCATTTCTCATTAGGATAACAGTCTTCTAATTGGTCTCCCTGTCTTTGGACTCAATGAAAATTGCATCTACCATTTGTTGAGGAGTTATGTAACCAGCATTGCACTAAGCACTTGATCACATAACCCTGTATTTTTCAATTCTCACAGCAACACTACCAAGCAGAGGTTATGGTCCTCATTTTCACAGATGGGGGAACAGAAGCTCTGAGAGGCTGTGACTTGCCTAAGTCATGCAGCTGTCAATGTAGTAGAAATTCAAACTCAGGTCTATGTTTCCACATGCTTAACTTTCTTCAATTCAGTCCGCAACGTAAACTTTCCAAAAAGTAAAGGTAATGTTTTACCTCACATAAAATGGTGCAAACAAGACCCAGTCTCTCCAGCCCTCATCCTGTCATTCTCACCCTTTTCTGTCACACTTAACTCCCAGCAGTTCCCTAACCTGTCTCACTTTTTCTGCCAAGAACACTTTTCTCCTTTGACACGCTGATTCCAACACAAACTTCAAGATTTACTCACACAGTCCTTATTCCGGAAAGCCTTTGCCCTAACAAATACATACCCAAAACTGGGTTAAGTGACCATTTGCTATGGTTATTAGCTAGTTTCTTATCACACTGTATTATAATAACTTTATCTTACAAGACTATTAGTTCCTCAAATCTCTATATTCCTAGTACAATGAGTATGTAGTAGAGGAAGGACTCAATAAGTGTTGAATTAATGAATTCACCAGAAGCAGTACAGCTTAAGAACTTGACCCTAAAGTTAACTTGATGTGCTTCCAAATTCTAACCCTGCCACACAGTAGTATACCTGCCAAGCCTGCAGCAGCATTGTAAATCTTTTTAATTTCTTCATCTGTAAAATGGGAGAAAACTGCACCTACCTCATTGTTTGGAGAGGAGTAAAAGAAATAATAGGTTTAGCACAATCCCTGGCACACTGAAATGAAAGTACACATTAAACATTAGCAACATTTTTTTTCACTCTCAAAGTTTATCCCAGGCTGACAAAGCCACAGCTCAGAAAATAGCTTCTCCTTCCAGCTTTCATCAGAGATTTAAGATTTCTCCAAAAAGTCAGAAATCAAGATCTTTCAGCTTCAGAGTTCAGTAGCTACCACCACGCCCTAAAATCACTAACTAGTACCCGAAGTTTATTGCTTCTGACCCACCCCTCGGTTTCTTCCCTCAAAGTCGAAGACCCTGTCCCTAAGCAGGAGGAAACCTACCCCACAGAAACCAGTCAGTGCCTTCTTTCAAGAACCACCACTTCTCCCTTGCGCTAGTTAGAAGAGATCCATCATCGAGTACAAGCTTTATCTCCTCAAAGGACCAAAAAAGAACCCCTTCTATGCATTCCAAGATCTTGGCCCCAAAGTATTAATTCAAGATAGAGAATGAATTGCTGGCATTAAGAAGCTAAGAGAAGGGGGCCTCTTAAAGGCTTCCTCAGTAAGACTTGTTCGGGTCTGTTACTCTCCAATAGGGACCCAAACCCACGATCCCATCCCGCCCCCATCCCGACAGGAGTCCCGGGTCCCGTCCGCTATCTCCTGAGCGAGATGGGTCACGGACCCGGACACCTTTCACCTGCCCGTGGCACCCCCCTTCCAACCTGGCCCGTGCCCTCCAGCAGGGCGCGGCCTGCTCCCTCGCTGCCAGCCTGCTCCCGCGAGCCGCTACTCACCGCTTCTTGGGGATGGTGCCCGACTCCTGCGCGGCGGGAGTGGCAGTGGGCGCCGCCGTGGCAGCCGACGCGGCTCTCCGCGCTCTGCACTCATTGGTACTCAGAGCCTCCCGGGGCTGGCCCAGCAGATGGCCCGAGAGAACCCGCAGCCTCCGCCCCGCGCGGTCCCGGTCCGGGTCCCGGTCCGCCGCAGAGCCCG